TATTAAAGTTTTAGATGTTAACTAGAGCTCTAAAATACTAACACATTAAGTTTAATTTAAAAAATTTTTAAAAAATAATTATTTGAGATTGATGGTATAAGGGGTTAGAATATTAGAAAAATACTTCTTAAAATTAAAAAAAATCAAAATTGAAATTTTATAGAAAATTAGAAGATTAAATGTACATGTTTATCAAATATAATAGGATTTGGTTTAGCCCAAAACGTGAGAGTGGTTGGCGTATAATATAATTATTATAAGTTTTTGGGAAACTAATAGTGCACTACTCGATCAAAATTTAAGAACTCCATAACTAATTTACACGCGTACATATTAAAAAATTAGTTAAAATTAATTTTTCATAAAAAATGTATTAGTTTCTTAAAAATATCATTACTTTTAATTACTTATATTAAAAATTACTTTTAAATATGTGCAAGTAACAAATGAGTTGTTTGGGAAAAAAATATAAATACGAAGACAATGAAAATCAAGGTGTTACATTTATAATTAAAATGAATTTTCCAGTTAACTCCTACATTTAGGATTTTACAGAATACTTTACTTATTTAATCTTATTTAGAAGTCATTTTCAACATGTTTCATACATTAAAAAAATATTAAATTTCATTAACCCTATCTTAAAATTTAAAGCTTTACAACTTTGCCTTTATTTTATATATATACACTTTTCAAGAAAACAACAATCTAAATAATAATAAATAAATGGTAAAATAGCTGTAAAAAAATGAAGAATAAAATAATATATTCATATAAGTAAAATAAAATTCTTATTTTACTATTTAAAATTTCGATAATTCGGCTACTACAGTGGCTCAACTTGTGAAAATCTGTCTGCATGAGAAAAATTCAAGAGGACAATTAATACAGAGAATTAGAATCCAACTTGATTTTGAACAATAAACATCAACTCAAAGCAAACAGACGAACTTGCTCCATGTGCAATTGCTGCCTTAGCGCCGCTAAAGGACTCTCTCAAATCGCTTTCAATTCAAGACCAAAATGACACAGAATAATAGTAATAATAATTTTTTTAAAAAAAATATTGCTTCGACCTCGATCTTCTTATCAAAGCTTGTATATGAATTTATTATCATTTTTTAAAAACATATTATTTATTCTTGATGTTGTTTGAAATATGAGAAATAAAAGATCTCAGATTCTTTCTGGTTTAGTGCCCTATCCTGATATCATTCGAGGGATACTTACGAAAAAGCATCATGTATTAAATTAATTGGCTTATTTATTTCTTAACTTTTAGATTCCAAACTCATTAATTTTAATTGCCTTCAATTTTTTTAATGAAAAATAGATAAATTTTAAACACTCAACTAAAAAAAAGTAAAAACTAATTTAAATTATTTCTGCTCAATTATATTGAAGTGATCCAACTTAAGAACGATACAATAATCTTTTTTTTTTTTTATCATAATTCACGCACTTATCATACTTTCTAGGGAGACCTCATACTTAGGGGGAAAAAAGCTTTCAAGAAGATACTTCTCGGTCCTAAATATAAATCTTTTTTGTAGTGTAAATTACACTTCAAAAAGAGTTTTATATTTAGAACAGGAGGAATATTTGATATTAGTTGCCTACAAAGCCTCAACAAAACAATGAGTTAAATGGAATTAGATTTATTATATGTCAATTCTTATTGATAAAACGGGCATATAAAATATTAAAAAAATTAGTGAAAAGTCCCCCTTAAAAAATTCTAGTGTTAATTAAGGACTTCCTATGCAAAAAATTTGCAACGTATTCATGCTTTCTAGATATCCCTTAAATGTATAACAAGAGATGTGAAAAAAAAAGGGGATGAATTTAGCAGTTCACGAGTCCCCAAGTCATATATAATAACTAAAATGATGATTGAAAAACACTAATGGCGAGAATCGCGGTTTATAAAAAAGATACTTATCGTTTTGCAGGACGATGGCATCCATAAAAAAGGATTTATGGATTTATTTAAACTTAATTAATAGTGAGACTTTAATTAAGAGGATAAGGTAGACAGGAAATCAAGTTGTTCCAGCTGGGGTGAAAGATATTGCGCTTCCAAGACAGAAACTCAATTAATGCTCCCACACATGGCCTCTTCCTCTTGGTGGGGTTCCTTCATGTCCTCACCATTTTCCTCTTCAAATTAAAATTTTTATTCCATTCATTTAGCTAAACCTAAACAAACTATATGTATACATGTTTTTCTAGCTCATCATCTTAACATGATCATGTTTAGTAGGGGTTCTCATTTCTCATAAATAAATTATTGGAAGTTTGATTTTTCAACACTTTTAACAAATGAAACAAAATTAGGACTTATTTAAAATGAAGATCTGAGTCTTCAGAAACAATTTTTCAATCGTAATCTACTCAATATGAGATAAGCATATAAGAAAAATTTTGTTTCTGTTCATGTGAAAGTGCTTATATGGCGCGCGCGCGCACATATATATATATATATAAACAAGCTACTAATCTCTAAAGAGAGATGAGTCTTTTATCACAAGTTTTGAGAAGGAAACGAATGAAATGAAAAGAAATAGGAAGGTTCATGGAAATGAGTGCAAGGGAGGAGGAAATCTGGCATCAGCCATGTGAAGGCCTGGAGGTTGAAGGTCCCATTCCAATGTACTTTGGTAATAATGAATGTCATCCACAGTAATACACTCACAGTACTTGTGATGTTTCACTTGTCCTCCAACACTTCAATTTTTTTTTTTGAACAAGAAGGATCCCCACCCTTATTTGACCCTATCTGTCTTTTATCCCCTCATACTTCAGATATTTGTATCCAAGTCCATGTGAACAAAAAAAAGGTTAATGTTATCATTGTTAATTCTCATAGGTTGATATTGTTGATGGTTTTAATCTTTATAGTTTTATAAGAATTTGATATAAGTTTAATAAATAATACATATGCTTTCAATAATTAAACTCTAAGAATTAACAATGATATTAATCCTAAAATTAGTAAATTGTCTCCGTGTAAGTTTCTCTTATAAGTAAGAAGTTAATATGTTGGATTTTATTTGTAACTTAGGTTTATATGATTAGTGCTTGTTGAGAAGAGGGACAGGATATTATGGAGATTGGAAACTGAGGAGGAATTAAGGCTGCAAATAAATTAAAATAGCTAAATATAAATGATGGGCAAGGGAAAGCTCTCAGAACCTCACCACATAAGTACTCATATTTCGTGATATAAATCCCTCATAAAAAATAAATGGAATCATATTTCATAATTGACATTCATAATGATATTCTTTTTTGCCAAAGAAAATTTGTATTGAAAAAGGAAAAAAATGCAAACTCCAGAAAACAAAAGACTCTGAGAAAAGTCACACCGAAAACAAAAAAGTTACAAACTCAAAGACCTACAACACAAAACTACAGACCAAAAAAAAAAAACAGAACAACTACAAAATAAAAGCTGTTAAATTTAAACGAAATTGATGCTGTTAAATCGATGCAGGAATTTAATGAAAAGCGTCAAAGAGAATATAATTAATTTAAAAAAATTAAAAAGAATGAACAGACATATTGAATCTTTGGGTACATACGACTCCTGATCTTTAATATAAGAAGTAGATAACTAATTTAAATAGATCAAAAAATAATTAAGTTAGTTATTTATAATAAATAGGAGTTGTCTTTCCTGAAATATCTTTATTAATCAAGTGTAATGGCTAGATTTACCATTATTATAAGGACTACCTTGAGAAAAAATAGATAAATATAAGAGACAAAGAGGATTAAAATCTTATATTTAGTATTAAAATAAAAGTTAAACAAACTCTTGTACTAAGGACAAAAGGTAGTAGTTTTTTACTGACCCATTGATGATAAATTTAAATGTTTATCCGTAATTAATACTCTTCCGGTCCTTAATATAAGACCTATTTAACTAATTTGATTAGATTAAGAAAGTTTGGTAAGTTAGTTAATTATAAGAAATGTGACATGTTTTTCCTAAAATACCATAATCATCTTTCTTAACACCTCCTATTTCTCTTTTATTTGATTATCGTTAAAGGAGTGTCTATAAGGGTAATTTAGAGAAAATTGATAAATATGAGAAATAGGTCTTATATTTAGGACCAAAACCAACTCAAGAATTGGGTCCTATATTAAGGACCGGAGGAGTATAATTTTTCTATTTTATTATTTCTTGATAAATCTATTAAAATGACAATAATATTGAAGTCCACAATAGAATAAAATTTACACAACTCAAATTAACATCTAATTAATTTAATTTTTTTCTAAAAAATAACAGTAGAACATAAAAAATCTGTTACTGATCAAGAAAACCTGGCTCCTTCTACTGATGTCCTTATGTACTTATTTCAAATCAAATCAAAAGAAGTGAACTTTAAATCTAAAATTAATTTTAAGAAGAGTTGGTTGTAGATTTAACCCAAGAAAAAAGAAGAAGAAGAAGAAGAGAGAGTGACCAGTTGAGAAGATAAATAAGTAAAAATAAATGTTGGTGTCTAATGACACTAATTTGTTAATCTATTTAACACAATGAGTACATAATATCAACATAACAATATTGAATGATCCCAAATTCTCAGCGGCAAAAAAGAGAAGAAGAAGAAGAAGAAGAAACGACAGAAAAGAAAAAGCGTATGAAGCTGGAAAAAAGAGGGGAGAAGAAATTAGGCGATGGTGCATATTTGCATGTGGTCTTGGCAGTTTGTTATTATGGTGTTTACCATCAGGAGTGAAAAACAGGGTTGCCCCACTTAGATTTTGCAGATTTTCCTTTTGAAAGCTACAAAAACCACGCGCTTTCTCGCCCCAAGAACACATTTTGAACCTTAAGATAGGGCTCTTCTTCCAATTTTCACTTTTAATGAACAGTTGGTAGCCTTACAACTTACAACCCCATAAGGGTATTTGGTCCCAACAGTTATTAAAAGCGTTAGTTATTGTTGAAGTAACTGTGGGCTATCCCTTCCGTCTATAAATTCGGTCGCACCCACCTTCATTCCCCCACACTCATCTCTCTCTCATTTCCCTCCTTCTAGCTAAAACTTCCTCCTCTGACGCATCAACAACAAAGTAATTCCCTTTCCGCATCATCTTTTGAAGTCCACAGATCACATTTTTAGCAGATTAGAGTTTGCTTATGTTTAAGAAGAAAGTCTCAGACTAATGATTCTTTCTTTGTGTATGTTCAGGAAAAAAAATGGCTGTCATTGGGTTGCTCTTGATGGGTTTTCTCTCCATGCTCTCCTCGGCTCATGGCTATGGTGGAGGGTGGATTAATGCTCATGCCACCTTCTATGGAGGTGGTGATGCATCAGGCACAATGGGTATGCAATTTATGCATCTATTAGTGTCTGATATGTGTTTGACTTTTGTCCCAAACGCACTATTTACATAAAAGCATCCATTTACCTCAAAATGTGAGAGTTTATTTGAAGTATGTTGGAGCAAACCCATTTGGCTAACCTTGATGGGGATGATGATGAATGGTGCAGGTGGGGCTTGTGGGTATGGGAATCTATACAGCCAAGGGTATGGAACGAACACAGCTGCTCTGAGCACGGCTCTGTTCAACAATGGGCTGAGCTGTGGGTCATGCTATGAGATCAGGTGTGTGAATGACAGAAGATGGTGCCTGCCAGGTTCCACAGTGGTCACAGCTACCAATTTCTGCCCACCAAACAATGCCTTGCCCAATAATGCAGGAGGCTGGTGTAACCCTCCTCTCCAACATTTTGATCTTGCTCAGCCTGTCTTCCTCCGCATTGCTCAATACAGAGCCGGCATAGTTCCTGTGGCTTACAGAAGGTAAATTGCCTTTTCTCTTCAAATTTAGATCCCTTACCTTACAAGATGCTAAGTTTCTTTTAGCGTTCACTGTCTGCTTCTTCAGTCAAGAAGGGCAGATAAGAATGTTAAACCAGAAAACTTAAGGAAAACGTTCGCCCAACGAACTTGATAATCATCTTCATCTATAAATGGCAATACGATTCCTACAATTGCAATTTGACAATTCAAATATTATCACGTTGGCTGGGCCCCAAGTCTCTTTGTCAAGTTGAACTAGGGTGTTTCATTTCTTTGTCCAACTACTAAGCGAGACAAACTCTACAATTAACTCTCTTTTGTCTGTTAAAGTCTCTGAAATTTATTACTTGAACCAAGTGGTTAGAAATTGTACTTGACCCTTTTGATAACTTACTGTATATTTTTCAATGGGTTGGTTTGTGCAGGGTACCCTGCAGAAGAAGGGGAGGCATAAGGTTTACAATCAATGGCCACTCCTATTTCAACCTGGTCCTCATCACAAACGTTGGTGGCGCTGGTGATGTGCACAGTGTGGCCATCAAAGGGTCAAGAACTAGGTGGATGCCAATGTCAAGAAACTGGGGCCAGAACTGGCAAAGCAACAACTATCTCAATGGCCAAGCCCTCTCCTTCAAGGTCACCACCAGTGATGGCCGCTTTGTGGTGTCCTACAATGTTGCCCCTCCCAACTGGTCCTTTGGCCAAACCTACACTGGCGCCCAATTCCGCTAGACATTACATATATATATATATATATATCACATATATTACATATTCCTGTTCAAGTGTTAGTATGACTTAGTATACTAGGGTATTAAAATAGTATGCTACCGTGAGAAGGGCTTATTTTAAAGGGGCTCTTCATCGTCATCATCGTGTCATGGTGGGGGTACCTAATTGTGGGTGCCTTCCACCCATTCTTATTGGAAGTTGTGAAGCGAGGGATTTTTTAGGTTATGGGGGTAAAAAGGTAAAAGAAATAGTGAGTAAAGTGGAAGTGGTGGAATCTTTATACTACCCGCCATTAGTATTGTAGTAGTTTCTTACTTTACATTTTTACTTTTTGGTTAGGTTTTTTTTCTTTTGGGTTTTTTTGGGAGAGGGGGGGGGGGGAGGTAAGAAGCAATTGTTTGGTGCTATATTTTAGCTTTGGCCGAGTGAGTCTTTGATTGTATTAGAGATATTTTAGTGTCAATTTTCCTGCTTCTGCAATGAAAAGATGCAATAATTTACCACATTGTTTCTGTGTCCTCTCTTCTGTCGACAAGTTTTAATTATAATTCACTCCATTTACCTCGTATAGAAGTTCTAAGGTTGTCTCCTTATTTACTTCTCATAAAATTCACACTTATCTTGTTAAAAAGAATATCAAATCACTGCAAGCGCAAGGAATATATGACTGTAAAAACAGCAAAGCCCTCAGAATTCTGATGAAGCCCAACTGTTTCAAGGGACTCTCTTTATTCTTTCACCTAACTAGAGATCAATCGTTGAATAACAGTTAAAAGTTCAACCTCCTCCACCTACTTCTGATTCTAAAGATTTATTTTTGTCTGGAATATCTGCTTATTGGCTGCATTTTGTCCCATCTTGTCATTTTATTTCACTGAGCATACAATAGATATCCTGGAAAAAATTCTATTTAAGATATTATCAGACACTAAATATGAGTATTTCTTCTAGTAAAAATTTAAAATTGAACCTTGATTCGCTAAATTGTAAAAATTAGTCCCTTCTACTGAACTTAATTCTCGTTGATCCCATTTTGTCATTTTAATTGAGTGCGCTCATTGAATTCTGAGTGACAGGCTGACAGGGTCCAATAGTAGTTTTTTTTATTTTTCCGTTGGGACTGAAGGGTCCAACAGTTGTTTAAAACACCACGTAAATTGCAGAGTTTATGGTGAATTAGGCATGCTGGCTCACCCCACAGTATGCTATTGCTTAAGGCTCATCATTATTTCTTGTATTTAATTGTAAATTAATTTTTTGAGAGACCGATAATGTATAATTACTGGGGAATTAATGTCACAGGAAAAAGAGCTACCACTGTACTCCTACTCCAAAAAGAAAGACAAAAATTAGAAATATAAAGGCATCAGATATAATTTTCAACAATGCCCCTATGCATACTTATAAGCCAGGGCATTCTGTATCATGTTTTCTCGTTATTTATCAATTTAAGAGGCATTCTGCATCGTAGTCTCTCCTATGTTATCTTTGTCTGAAATTGCAATCATGTTTTTTTTTTCTTTCTTTTTGAGTGATCCAATCATGTTTTTTCAATATACAAGGATGGTCCATGTGAGGAGGAACAAACTTGGACACTCTTTATTTACAAGAAGCCCATACAGATACCAACAAAAATGAAATCCACATTATTCTGAATCAGTTACTTCGCTATACTGTGATGCTATAAACAACTCTCACCATCCACGTGCGGAAGAAGAAACGCAATATGCTTTCTGCGTTCATAACAACCTTCACAGCAGAAAACAAGGTGGAAGCAAAATCCAGATAGCCTATTATTGCATATTGTTGAGATCTGATGAAGCCAGACTGAAGTTCTCTGTCAGCGTCATTGGTAGATGCAGAGCAAAAGTAGTGAATCAGTGTCGCTGTGGTACCTAGAACACAGATAAAACTACAAGAATTAGAAAGTTTTACGTATCAGACAAGGTTAAAGGAAATTACATACGGACTAGACACTGTTATTACAAAACCCTGGAAGTTTGAGCCAACTGACTGATTCTCCAATCCAATAAAAACTCTTCTTGGAACCTTAGATTTTCTACGAAATGTTTGTATTCTTGTAAAGCTGTAAAATCTAATGCATTATTTGGTATGATAGAATAGAAGGGAAGGTAAGAGATAATATTCATGAAGAATAGAAAGGCAAAACATGGGATGTCAAATTGTTTTATTATCCTATAATTGTTTAATATATTTACAATAAAACAAGATATGCATTGCATTCATTCATTCATTTATAATTTTATTATACGTACAATAAAATTATTTATAAATATGACATGTATCCTATACGATTGTTGGACATGCATCAAAACATTGCCAATACAGAAGATAAACAAATTGTCAGACCCATAATATTGTTGAAGCCACTAACATAATGAAATTGTTTCTCTATTTTTCACAATATGGATGCTATGAACTCGGGGATCCATTAATTTGATGAAGTTTGCTTCTATCAGAAAGATAGAGAAAATTTATATATTTTTTTAACAAAATGAAAAAGTAGAAAATATTCCAAAGAAGCAAATTTCGGGGAAATTTATAGCTGGTCACCTTTAGAGGATCCACACTCTTTCTTCCCTCCACCAAGAGACGGAAGTCATATAAGTGGGGACTGCACAAAAACTTTCCTTCCTTGTCCTGTTCTCTTCTATTTAGGCATACTGAATGGAAGAATATAAAACCCTTCCTTTGTTTCCTTTCCTCCCCGTTTCCCCCCACCAAACAACACAAGACATTGCCCTTTTTTTATGGCCACTAAGCCTAAGACATGATTTTGTAGTAAAAAAGGTATGATTTATAGAAAATCATTATTCAGGCTGATCCATGAAGTTAATACTAGCTAAAAGGGGTAAGTAATTGTGCCCGATCAGATTAGCTAAACCAGCTGCGCCATATTTTGATATGAAGTTAACTGAAAAAAATGAAGGTTGCCGGCTAAAAAAGATAGATAAAATAAATCACTTTCCATGGTGGATATTATTACAATTTCTATCCAGTTCTGGTGATCAACTCATTTGCAGTTGGCCAACCGCTCACAAGTAAGTCATGCAACAGGAAAACCAGAAAATAAAAAGAGTGGCCCCATGCAGAAGGCTCCACCAGGTGGGGTCTGGGGAGGTATAGATGTGTGCAGCGTTACCCCTAAAAGCAGAGAGTCTGTTTCCTGGGTTTGAATACCAGAAAATACAAAAGGAAAAAAAAAGGGGGAAGGGGGTTCTGTTGTAAGAAGCTAAAGTTTACTCGAGGGAAACTTGCCTGGGCATACAGATATTCATCAAACATGGTGGTCACAGCACAATGTCCTGATGTAGAAGCCCATCCATTGTGGTTAGAGTCGAAGGCAGGTCTAGGAGCTTCAAAGCATTTATTAGGATGATAATCTATGGGGTTGTCATGTGGGTTGATCTCAGCAGATGGCTGGAAATTGATGTCATGCAGTGGATTGAAATTATATGGCAGGTACGGAAACTGCCCGCCTAATTGTAGTCTCAGAGAAGCGGTGCTTGTCATGTCACAGAGGACACTATTTTCTTGCCCATAATTAGAAAGATCTGGCTTTGGACTTGAGCCAAGATAACTAGCATAACCCCCGAAAGAGGAGCTTGCAGAACACTCTATGTCTCTGAGAAGCAGCCAAACCAATTTAACAAGTAGAATTAAAACTTACAGAATATTAACTCATAAGATCTCCAATTGAGTATATGCTTATTTTTCCATCATATAGAACATCATTACAAATTAAGCAATTTGCTTAAACAAATAAAAATAAAATGCTACAATGAAAAAGAAAAAATTATTTCGTGTCTATGCTATACTTTCATTTGAGATCGATGACAGTGTCTTGAAGTTTTGGTCTCTTTTCCTTGGTTTTTCTTTTTGGTTCATAATCTTATCTTGTTTTATGTCATATTGTTGATAAAACAAAGTAATGACATATTATCGGGACCTAGAACAAGATCCAACCGACATCTTACAGACATCTAGAGCCACACAATTAGCCATAGCAAGTCCAGTATATCTTCTTCTACCATAATACTTCAAGCAGTATACCCTTTGGTCATTAGCCATTCCTAGGTTTTCGACCTACAAATAATCTGGGCAAATATCTTGGGGTCCCTCCTTCTCCACAAAGGCTATCAAGAGATACTTTCAGATATAGACTGAAGATAAGGTCAAACAAACGCTCAGGATGGAAACTTTAGACGCTGAATATTTCGCAAGCCATCCTTTGTTTAGTAAGATTATCCCATCTGTTAATAAGAACTCAATAGCAATGCCACTGGATCGCAACAAAAATCTAGCATATGAATACTTTTGGCAGCGTGGCATTTGAATAACTAGATTTTTTTTATGATAGTATAAACAGGAGACATATTTGGGCCAATTAATATGAATTCGTATACCAAATGAACACATTTGCAAATTCTATTTAATCAAATCGTTTTTATTATTTTTAATGTTGTTAAACAATCAGACCTCAATGCCACAGTAATATTTGCTTATTATCCTGGCAGTAGATGCTGCTTCTCCAAAATAACTTAAAGATGTGTCTAACTCAAATAAATTCAATGAAGATTATCGAAGGAATTTTGAAGCATAGATTTATTTCAGGAAAACTGCTTACTTGGGAAGAAGCAAGTTTGAATCATCAGGTAAAACCATATGTTGGCTGTCATTGTTGGCAATCCATGATAGAGGTTGGAGATGTTGATTGGCACTGATCCTGAAGGGAATGTGCAACTCATTGAACTGGAAGATAAAGCTTGCTTAGTCATCTCTTGCGTTTCCACACCATAGAAACGTGTATTTAAATCTACGAAAGAAAAAAAACAGAAATGCGTATTTAAAACCAGTTTTAAATACCAGTTGAACTTTTTACCTGGTTACTGCATCGCACTGATTCAAGTTTTTGCTTTTGTACATTTTCCTGCCAGATCAGAAAAATGTCTGAGAAACAGTACAGAATCAAGATCTCAAGGCGTCAATGTGTATTGCATGTATATAACACTGGTTATGTACTTTGGAGGGTTTTGGATTGAGGGATAGCTGAATTTATGTTGCTCCCCCACCCCCCACCCCCAAATCTCAATGCTTTCGCTCAATTTGATTATTGCCTTATTCTTGTGCCTAGAATTGTTAAGGATTCCCCTTTATCACTACCAGGTGGAAAATTGTATCCCTTCTCTTATTTTCTTAACAAGGAAAATATCTAGTTGGGATATCAGATCTTTCCGCATCTCAAGAAGGCACATATTTCCTAGGCATTAAAAGTATTATAAACGAGGAGAGAAAAATGACTAGAGTTTCTGATTATGGACGAAGTAGCAACTACCTCCAAAACCTTGATGCTCAAGTGAACCATGAAAATATTCCTTGCGAAGAGCAGGAACAATATAATAAGAACTTAAGAAGCATACCTTATGCATTCGAAGTTGATTAATTGACTCCCGGAGAGAATTTTCCATCTGTTCCAATTGTTCCACATTGTTGATTTTATCAAGTTCAGTCCAATGGCTGCAGAATGCAGTAATATATATAACTTGAAAAAATGGAATGCAGTCATAATGCAAGTACATGAAAATATAGCCAAGGGACTTGACGGTTGAACCGAACAAATAATTATACCTTAATCTTGTATGTATTTCAGATATTCTCGTTCGTAATAATGTGGCGTTATTCTTTAGGTCCTACACAAAACACTTAAGTGGTAGGTCCAACATGAAGGGAAAGGAAAAGGGGAAAAAAATAATTGAGATGGTTCAACTTGTATACCTCAGCAGTTTGACCACTGTGAGAAAGAACAAAAAAAGTATTTCAGTATCCCGACTTATGGGAGAAAAGTTAAATCAATCCAAAGTAGGTCATTAAATTGGTGTTGGCATGGAATACCTTGTACCCAGAAATTCTTGTATCTTTACATCGTGGTCTAACTTCTTAAATGTTTTCTTCAGTGCCTAAACTCAAATAAAAAGGCAGATTGCTAATGCGTATTACAATAAGGCATCAATCATAATCTCGTACTGTTTGAAAACAAAGGGATAAATATGCATTTTTTTAATGTAGAATGAGTTGTAAGAAACAACTTACTTCAAGACTCTCCAATTTCCTGTACCAATACAATTGAAAACATTAATCATAATTTTGTACTAAGACAAAAAGGCATAATAATTTGCTTCATATGGAGGATTTTAATTATACCTCTTTGCCCTTTCCTGTGGAGTTTGTTGTGCATACTTTGCAATAACCTCCTCTATGCTACTACAGTCACCAAAGAAGGGACGTAATCAGGCAAAGAATAGGCAAACGCCACAGTCCAAGCGAACTAATAGCTTGAAAAATATCAAGGGCAAGATATAATTAGAAGTTCAAGCAAAGATGCAAGAGTATTTAGATTTTTTTTTCTCTTTTGACGAACAGAGTATTCACTCAGAAGTCTGCAATACCTCGTGAAGCAATTCGTAACATATTTATGAAACCTAAACTATAAAAGAATAAGCTGGGAATGCAATAATGTAGTAACTGATTTCTTAGACTCGACTCAAGAGGATGGATGTTTCAAATGTCAAACAGCTGCTTAAGGAGCAGGAAAAGATAGGTGGGATGTCTAGAGGGAGAAATAAGTGTGAAGGAAAACGCTTATGGTAAGCCTCAGAAAAAGAAAAACTGTATCTGACACTAAACGCAAATAAACGTAATTGTTATAAAGGTAATGATGTCAAAATATAGGTGGTACAGATGCTGTAATTGTAAACATTTCTTCCTTGATCTTGGAGTGAAAAGGCATCACGGCATTTGACCATAAAGACTAATGGGTTTTAGAAGAACAGCTAACTTTTATTCTTCTTCACCATACTTTTTGAACTAATTAATCAATACGGTTATTGACAAAACATTGCCCTTTTATACTAACTAGATTGTAAGCCCCATATTTTTGCATAGAGTTTGAAGCAAGTTGTATTACTGTTCATGACTTATATATAATGCAGCTTTCTATAGATTTTATATGGTAGATTGATTAATGATATAGATGATTCAGACACTAGCAAAATACCTACGCCTCCCTCCGCATAGTGCTGGCTTCCCAGACGGTGAGAACATGAGAAGTATAATATCTATATCGCACAGTATAGATAATTCCGAAGCCTTTTTAATAATTCCATTCCTCCTTTTAGCATAGGTCGCCTGACGGCCATTAATGTTCTCCAGCCTCTTTATCTTCAGCTTCACCCTGCCCATACTGGAAATTATAACCCACAGAAACGCCTTCAGTTAGGCCCCCCCACTTTTACAAAGTCTCCAAGTTCATAGCAATTTCAATCCAAAGCTCAGCATTCGTTTAGAAATAAAAACAAACACCTGATGAACATAAACAGGCAACAAAAGAAAACAAACTCCGAACACCCAGAGCCAGAGTAAACAAAGCAAATGAGAAGCACAGAGCTTGAAATAGATATAACATCTAGCATGTGAAGGCCCAATAAGAATTGAAGAGGAAAAGAGGCCAATGATTATTTCTTTAAATGAGAAACAGGAACTACAACTGTCAAAAAGCTAACAGATTCATCGACCTCAAATGCTTACATACATACCCTTTATCAACTTTTAAGTGTCCGTACCGAAAAAAGAAAGAAAAATCAACCTTTGAGTGTCAACATTGAGAAAGGAAGAGCATGTAAGGATTTTAATCTAACAAGAACAGAGGGAGAACAAAAAGGGTACAAACGTACCTCCAAAAGACGAAGTCGAGAATGTAACTAAAAGGAATACAATCCAAACGGGTAGTACGCGGGAATAACAGATTGTTCGGACAAAGGCAGATTCGTAGGAAAAGAGAGAAGAATGATCAAGGCGTGAGCTTACATATAGCATTATAGGGCCTGGGTTAAACACGACCGGGTGACCGGAAAAATCGGTCATTGGAGCATCCGGAAGAATCGGGACTCACGATCGTTAGAAATTCTCCCACTGCCTCACAAACCATAACAGCAAAAGCCACCGCTTTCTGCTTTCTCCCAAACGACCTTCACATTTATACCCAGATTCTTGCATGTTTATGCGTACTGAAAGTTTCTGGTAATCATGATTTTAATCGTAATTCAACCCTTGAATTTCTTTATGCATGATGACTCCTCGATCACTTGATGCAATCTCGCCTTCACCAAGACTAAAAGACGGCGTCTTTTTATATGGAATTGAGAGAGATCAGAAAAGCAAACGTACATAATAAAATCCATCAGAGTGAGTCAGTGAGTTAACACTCACTTTTTTGTCATTTACATAAGAAAAGTATCAACCATGAAAACGATTTACCTATATTTTACAAAAATGAGCTCAACCCGATTTGATTAATTTGACAAAATGATTCCATAAATAGTTTCACACCAGCTCATCGTACGTCAACATCCAGTCACCATGGATATCCTTTATAGTAAATAGTAATTGTAGTGTAGGTGGCCTTTTTTCCCTTTCTTTTGCTCCATTTCATCCCGAGTCTCCTTTGTGGCATTACAGTAGTATAGGTGGCTTTCCCCCTTCCTTTTCCTCTACTTCGATAATTATTCCATGTAACCCTTTCTCCCCCCCCCCCTTTTAGTTAGAGGGATAAGCAGTACTAATAGTATGAGATTACAAATGAAATTAGGTAAGCTTTAACTTCATGTCACTAAAGTACAAGATGATGGCATATAACCCTTTCTTTGGTTGGAGTAGGAAAAAGGGAAAAAATTGTAAGGGGATCGATTGAAAAAGAAAAATGAGGTTCTTCCTATTAAAACTTTATAATCATAATTAAGTTTATCAGTACTCGAATTTGGCTAACCAGCAGTACTGGATATATATATATATATATATATATTGAATAGATATATCAATATTTACAACAACTAGGTTAACATGTATCAACGTAACTATATGAAAATTATGAAAAGTACATTGTACTGTGGACCAGCAGAGATCGAGCCATCCCATCAAGACTTACCATTAATATGGTTTACTGTAAATTCTACAGATTTATATATATATATATATATATATATATATAAATATGGAAACTATAGGAATGGGTAATCTTGATCGATAATTGTGTAAGTATACTGGGAGCTTTATTTTACAAGAGTTAGATTCTATATATCTTGCTTTCAAAAGTGGTTTGTTGAATAATGATGAACCCGTTGACGACGGAGTACGTAGGGTGATAGAATAAAATAATCAGCTCATATAGTTTTAACAATAACTAGGAGCAGTTCACAATTTAATTTAAAGCTCCAGCTTCTGGCCATCCATGTGTCCTTAGATTTTCTTAAATGATCGACGACGAAAAAGATCCGCAGATTCCAACTTGTACAGCCAATAGTATAAGACTTTGAGAACAAGGTTTGTTCATTCCAAAGTGCTGCTACTACCTATATATATTCATTCACAGTTCAAGACAGAGCCAAAGCTGTGAAATACAATCAATATCTCCCCTTGTTCAATTAAGTTGCAGAAACCAGAGGAAACAACTAAGCACGAAGATGAAGAAGTTCATTTGCTTGGCTCTGCTTTTCGTGATTGCGGCCACCATTGCTGGGGTTGAAGCTGACGGCTATGGAGTGTGTGGGAAGTTCAGTCCAGATAGAATGCTCACACATGTTCTTCGTCACTGCAAGAAACCTGCAACTGACTTAACTGTTCCTGTCTCTCCAAAGTGTTGTGAGCCTCTATTCCAGATTTCTGAGGCATGCTTCTATGCGATCATCAAATCCGACACTTGGAAGTATTCAGGCATCGACCCTCGAATCGCTTTCACCATTCCCAGGCGTTGCCATTACCACCACCATTAATAATAATAAAGTACCTTTATGAACCAGTCACCTACTTATAGCTACTGTAATAAAGTGTGACTGTGCCATTAATAAGAGCTCAATGTAGCAGCTCATAAATAAGTTTGGGATAATATGTTTCAGTGTTGATTTAGAGTCGAGTGCATGTGTCGTTCAAACTGCAAATAACGGTGAATTTGATCAGTTTGAATTTGTTTGTTTATGTTATAATAAGATATATATATATATATATATATATATCAAGTTTCATATAAATATATTGTTCTTCTCTTAATTATGATAAATAGCAAGCTGTGCTTGTTTGAATTCCACATCGATCTTTGACATAAGGATAGTCGGCTGCTATAAGTTCCAAAACACATAAGGCTTAGTGATTAGATAAATTAATTGAGTTATTAACCAAGCTGTGGTTTACTCAGAATTATCCTCAAAAGAAATTTCATTAACCAACTAAACAACAAATTTCATGGAGGATAATTCTGAAATTTTAAAAGCATTAACTAATTTTAAATAAATATATTTTTTAAATATATGTAAAGTTGTTAGTTAATAGGTTTTTATGGAGGAATATATTTTGGGGAGCAAACCAATCTCAAGTTAAATATTTGCCTCATTTATCAAATTTACTAGTCTTTTTCAATATTCAAGAAAAGCTATGAATATTAAACAATATTTCAAAATCGACATCTTAATATTCTCCATGATTTAACGATCTATTTATTACATAATTAATATATATTAATGCAAGAATGAAATTTGATTCAACTAATGGTTTGATTGAATTAATTAGTGAAATAGACTCAATTTTGTCTTAAAGGGAAAACTACTACCACGATCCACATAATTTTAACTCATTTTGAATGAGGTTCCTGCAATTTTTTTTTTTAATCTTAAGGAATAACAGAGTTAAACCAACGTTTATAATGAGTGAGTCAGTGAGATGGCTGACAACTTGATAAGGTGGCTGGTGACTTTGTATCCATGTGGCGAAGTGAGTTTATATGAGCTTTGCTTGAACTCTAAATCTTTGTCCAGCTCTGAAATAAAATCTTAATTAAGCTTAAGATATATTACTTGCTACATTTGATATAAGTCCTTATTTGACTTTTATTTTGATTATAAAATAAAACCCCAATCCATTTTATTTTTCATATTTATTTATTTTTTTCTAAGATAGTCTTTTTAATAATAGTACTAGTTCTAGCCAATAAATTTGATTAGTAATGATATTTTAGAAAAGACAACACATATTTATTACAAATTACTAACTTAACTTATTTTCTTAATCTATTCAAATTAGTCAACTAGTTTTTATATTTAGGACCAAAAGTAGTATGAGTTAAGTATTATCTAGTTTTCTTTATTAACGTTTAAACAAGTTGAAGAAAACATGTAGGGATTTTTTAGCTGATGAAATAATTTAAGAAAAGGACACGTTATATTTTTATTAAGGAGTTATTTAAGCATCGTCACCTAAAAATCTACACACACTTAAATACGCAAGAGAATGGATGACTAGAAAATACACACACTTTCATTTCTAGGCGTTCTCCTCTTTAAGTGTCTGAATTACTTCAATCCTATTCTTAACATTTAGTTCAATAATTTAATAAATAGCCCTTGTTTTTTTAAGTTAGCAATAAATATGCTTATCCATAATTTTTTATCCCATCTTTCTAGTGTGTTTAATTCTTATCGAATTTTCATCTATCTGTTCGTTTCATTTGTTGATGGCAATCTAATAGTTAAATATTTAAAAAGAAACAACTTGAGCCCAAAAATTTGACTTCACAAAAGCTGACTCATAAGCCATTTGTTTCTTAATGCATGAACCCATTGTCGAAGCAAGGAGTAGGTGATGGAATATATTAATTAACTCATATGGACCTCATAATGACCAGGAGTAGTGTTCACAATTTAAAACTCCAGCTTGGCTATATTTTACGCACATACGCACACTTATTGTGGAAGTTCCTGAGATTTGAAGAATGTCATTCAAACTGCGAAATAGTGGTGGATTCGTCGAGTTAGAATTGGTTTTTGTTTAATTTATATGTCTTAATCTCAAAGATGCATCAAGTTTCATATATTTATTATGATGACTAGTGGTTTTAGCAAATTAGAAAGCGTTGCTTTGTTTATATTAATTCCACATATCTTTGACTAATAAATGACTAACTATTTGGAAATTGGTTAGTGTTTTGTGATTAGGGTAAATAAATGAGTTGAGTTATTGACAATTCTGTAAATTTCTAGGTAGAAGCTTTATTCTGCAAGACTTATCAAATGTGAGTATTGTATTCTAGACCTCTTGCGTATCAAAAGTGAGTATTGCATTGGATAATTATGAAACCTTTGACGAAGTGCGTACGTAGGTGAAAGAATAAAATAATCAACTGCTCATATAGTTTTCACAATATCCATGTGCTTATTCTGTAAGGCCTGAGATTTTTAAAAAGATCGTACACGAAAGATCCGCAGACTAATTCCAACTTATAAAGCCAATGGTTTAAGACTTGGGGGACAAAGTTTCTCCATTCCAAGGTGCTTCTACTGCCTATATATACGCAGTTCAAGACACAGCAGAAGCTGTGAATTACACAGTTACAAATATCACACACAAACATATATTTAGCTTCCTTGTTCAAGTTGTAGAAAACCAGAGGGACTACAACAGTTAAGGATGAAGAAGTTCATTTACTTGGCTCTGCTTTTGGCGATTCTAGCCATTGCTGGGGTTGAAGCTGACGGCTATGGAGTTTGTGGGAAGTTCAGTCCAGATAGAATGCTCACACATGTTCTTCGTCACTGCAAGAAACCTGCAAGAGATTTAACTGTTCCTGTGTCTCCAAAATGCTGCGAGCCTCTCTCCCACATCTCTGTGGAATGTTTCTATGCTATTATCAATTCCGACACTTGGAAGTATTCAGGCCTTAACCCTAGAATTGCCTTCACCATTCCCAGACGCTGCCATCATCTCATTCATCATCCCCACTAGTGCTTTTGCACATAGCTTAATAATAATGGACTAGTCACCTACCAAGCTACTGTAATAAAGCGTGACTGTATGTGTCTTTAATAAGAGCTCATTATAGTAGCTCATAATAAGTTTGTTAAACATGTTACAATGTTGATTTGAAGTTGAGTTTGTGTCATTCAAACTGCCAATAGTGGTGGATTTGTTGAGTTTTAATTGGTTGGTTTGTGTTTTACTGTCTTAAAGATGTATCAAGCTTTATATAAAAAAAATCGTTCTTCTCTTGATTATGATAAATGGCCTGCCATATTTATGTTCCAACATAGATTAGGCTTTGTGATTAATAAGATAATTAATTAAGTTGAATTACTAGTTGGTTGGATCAGATGTGGAAGGAATTCAATTTCTTTTTAAATAAGGTTGGGAATTTCAATTAAGGAAGAAAAACCACATCGGGAGAATTACTTCCAATCAATTAAGTTCAACAATATCCAAAATATGTGATCTAATAATACTATAAATAATAGATACAAAATAATTGTATTAAAAAAGTTGAATTATTGACCATATAATCAATTAAATAAATTAGTTCACATCAGTAGGAATCTTTGATTTCAACTTTTTTTATGACACACACACACGTGTGCGTATGTCTAAAAATGTAAACATTGAGCACTGAACTAAATATAGCGCATTTACTCCTTCGATTACAAGGCCACTTTCCATGGTGTTTAGTGTAAAACATTTTGCATAAAGCCCTGATTTTTTTTTCTGAATATCTTTTAATTTCTATGATATTTCCCACCTAATGCGACTTCCTAACTAACTAAACAACTTCCTTTAGCTAATGAATTTCATTTAAGATGGTTTTGAAGTTTTAAAAGTATTCACTAATTTTAACTGGATTATTTAATATATGTAAAGTTGTTAATTAATAGTAATTCTAATAAAAAGGGTTATATTTTAAGGAGTGTACCAATGTCGGGTTAATTAAATATTGTCCTCCTTTATCAAATTTATTTATCTATTTCAAAAATTAAGAAGATTATGGATATTAATAAATACTTGAAATTCTACACTTGAAAATTCTCCATGATTTAACAACTTATTTAGTTGTCATTACTCCCTCTGACCCTTTTTATAAGTAATATTGTAGTTTATCCCGTAGATCAAAATATTAGTTAAAGTGATTAAAGACAATAAATATGTAAAAATTAGAAGTCCTTCCTCTAAAATGTCCTTATTTATGGGGGAAGAGGGTGTAAAAAAGATAATAAGAGAATTATTATAATAAAGAGAATTATTGAAGAGAGAAAATGTGTGATGGAGAGATGATGGTTTGGAAAATGAGATAATAAATATATTGAGTATTAAAATAAGTAATTAATTAGGGCAAAATAGAGAATTTTGATACCAAAATTTAACACAACTTGCAAATGTTGCTTATATTTAGGGATAAGAGGGAGATTGTAGTTGTTTCTTAAAAAAAATGGATGGAAGGAGTACATAATTTTATATCTCACTGAACAATCTATTTGATCAAAATAATGGTGGTTGAATTAAGTAGAGGAAGATAATCAATTTTTGTTAAACAAATGGGTAAAGTAAAGATATATTTATGTATGTGTGTGTATGCATACGTAATTATTTTACTCTTCTGTGTTAATTAACCATCTCGTCATCTACTTCCAAAGTAGAATTAACAATTCATGAATTTTTATATTATATTACTTGATGAAATAAATATGCTTATCCACCTTTCCTGTGCGTTTAATTCTTATCTAATTTTAATCTACTATTAAACCGAGCCGTCCTATCTGCCAGCAAAATTTAATAGCTATTAAAATGTTTAAAAAATCAACAATACTTAGTTTTACTTAATTATTCAGCTTTAATATTAAATTTGATAGATTACGATGCACTGAATATGCATTTCTAAGGGACAAACATTAGTATAAGTTATGCATGAGCCCAAAAATTTGACTTCTTAAAAGTTGACTCAAAAGTCACTTGTTTAGTAATGCAGCAAAACCCATTGATCGGTCCACAGAAACTCTGGCTTCTGCTTTATTTTTTTGTATTCATCGTCGGATCAGTAAGCCCTGAGATTTTCAAAAATGATGGATCGACGACAAAAGAATCCGCAGGCTAATTAGCAACTTTTGCTTTCCTCCTTGGAAAACAATAAACATTAAACATAGATTCCAAAACTTGTAAAGCCAAAGGATTAAGACTGTGGAAACAAGGTTTCTTCATTCCGAAGTGCTGCTACTGCCTATATATACACCGTTCATGACACAGCCCAAGCTGTGAAATACAAGCACACATAGCTTCCTTGTTCAAGTTAATCAGAGGAGACTAACAAAGATGAAGACGTTCATTTGCTTGGCTCTGCTTTTCGTGATTGCGGCCACCATTGCTGGGGTTGAAGCTGACGGCTATGGAGTGTGTGGGAAGTTCACTCCAGATAGAATGCTCACACATGTTCTTCGTCACTGCAAGAAACCTGCAACTGATTTAACTGTTCCTGTCTCTCCAAAGTGCTGCGAGCCTCTCTTCCAGATATCTGAGGAATGCTTCTATGCTATCATCAATTCCGACACTTGGAAATATTCAGGGCTCGACCCTAGAATCGCCTTCACCATTCCCAGACGTTGCCATTACCACCACCATTAGTAAGAAACTTCTATGAAGTAGTCACATACTCACGGATACCAGTTCTAATAAAGTGTGACTGTATCCTTAATAAGAGCTCACTGTAGCGGCTCATACTAAGTGTAATAAAATTGTGACTCTCTCTGTGTCTTTTACAAAGATCTCATTATAATAGTTCATACGACTTTGTTAATTAAGTACGTGTTCAAATGTTTGACGTGGAGTCGACCAGAAACCAAGTTCAAACTGCCAATACACAGTGGTGGATTTTGAATTGGTGATTAATCTATGTTCTAATCTCAAAAATAATGTTCCGAGCTTTAGCCATCATACTCTTTGCTTTTGTGGATGGATACAAGTGAGTTAAGATATTGACTACGTATTTCATAGCTCACACTCAATAAGAAATAAGAATCCTGTGGGTATCCTTTTCTTTTTTCATAGAAATTTAAACTTTAATTTGTTGCATTATGAGAAATTAACTATTTCCACTATATCTAATTCAATTTCCATTAGTAATTTTATGAATCTTTTGGCTAAAGTATAGATATCCTCTTATTAGAGGTAATCCTATTCGAGGCACTGTCAGACACCTCTCTCAATGGGGATTCGAATCTTAATTCATCATGTTGTAGGGGACTAGTCTTTTCTGTTAGACTTAACCCCGTTGATAATTTTATGAATCTTATTTGTAGCTTTAATTTGCTCAACAAGGATGTGAATCTGATGACGGAAAAAAAAACAAAACAAAGCCAAGAGCTGCATAAAATGGCCTTGGCTCTTCTTCTAGATTTGAAAAGCCTCAACCCATTTTAGTCGGAACATAAATACGACGTAAGTTTGATTCACCCATGGGAAGGCCCAAAAAAGCGAAGCAAAAAAAAAACAAAATTGCCGTTTGACCATGCGAACGACGTGTCGCCTGATATTCTGGATAACACAAGCTTGCCTATCGTCATTTCCCAGACGCTTAACGAGATGAGGGTCGAACTCCTCCCTCGGCCTCAAATCGTCGTCGTCGTCTCTCATTCGTTCCTAAAACCCTTTCAAAACCCTAACTTCAATGGCACAATACCCCCTTTTACTTCCCTCAATGGATCTCTGCTATTCAGACCCATTGCCCAATTTTCCCATCAACACAACGCCCCTCCTCTTGTACCTTCTCACTCCGACACCGGTCTCCTATTCCGGGAAAAAGTTATCTACCTCGAAAGACTCAATATCAACTCCAGCAAAGCCCTCCGGCAAAATCCTAACATCCGATCGGTTCCAATTTCCGCTCTCAAATCTGTAAAAGAGTGCCTCTCCTCCATGGGCGTCGAGCGCTCTGCAATGGGTCGAATCCTCGATATGTATCCCCAGCTTCTCACATGCGACCCCTATTTTGATCTCTACCCTGTTTTCGATTTCTTATTGAATGAAGTAGCAATTCCGTTCCCTGATATTCGGAAAGCGATCATGCGGTGCCCAAGGCTATTGGTTTGCAGCGTGGATGAGCAACTCAGACCGACTTTGAGCTTCTTGAGGAATTTAGGCTTTGTGGGACCCAATGCCATTAGTTCCCAGACGGCATTGCTGCTGGTGTCAAGTGTGGAGGGCACCCTTACGCCCAAAATTAAGTATTTGCAGAGGCTGGGGTTCTCTTATGAGGAAGTGCTAAATATGGTTATAAGGTCACCTGGATTATTGACGCTAAGTATCGAAAAAAATTTGATGCCAAAGTCTGAGTATTTTTTGGAGCAGATGAATGGGGACATAGCTCAATTGAAGAGATTTCCACAGTATTTTTCATTTAGTTTGGAGAAGAAGATTAAGCCAAGGCATAGACTATTACGTAAGAACGGCTTTACGCTTCCTTTGGACGAGATGTTAAAGGTTAGTGATGGCGAGTTCGGTGTTAGGTTAGTTGAAATGCGACTAAAATCACTTGAGGGAAGGTAGCAGCTGTTGTTATAAATTGCTTCTTTCCTACACTGCAATTGTATACTAATTTTCTGTGACATATTTCCTTGATTTGAAAAATCATGTAGTTTAGTTGTATATAAATGTTTGATGAATTCACAATATTTGACATCCTAGGTTTTATCCAAGAGGCCCTTGTATATGATATAGAGTAATAATTTAAACTATGGATTATTGACCGACAAAACTCTTCTCTTAATTTCTTTGTTATCAGTTCATTAAATAGCAAGGAAAATTCAGTGAAATGGTTCAGACACATGGGTACAGAAAAGAGGACATGTGTTGAAATCCCATGATAGGTTGCTTAGACCGCTAAATTGCTGTCGCGAAGTTTTAAACTGGACTTGCAGCTTGAAACCCCGGAACTGAAATGATATGTAGCTCAAACTGATTACCAATCACATTTAACTAGAACGTGATGTAGGTGTTTCCTGGTGAACTGCTGTCAAATGTAAAATTTTTTATTGGTCAAGCTGCAGGAAACTCAAAACACTAGAAAAGAAACTGAGATTATCTATGCCTCTACTTTTTTTTAAATACCAATCACAATCAGGCTAGAACTTGACATGCGAGCTTGAACGGCCTTGCCCCTGGCGCTACTTTTCTTGTTTACTCTCCACATCTTCCATTTTTTGTGTAATTTTTTATGATTCTGTACATCACTTCGAGTCTCCATGTCATAACTAGAATTTGCTAAATTGATAGGTGCGGTAGTATTTGGGAAAATCCCTACTAAAAATTTTATTGCTGGGAAGTATCTCATAAATTTTTATTTTGTGCACAGATTATCATTACTCTGATTTAAATCCTTCTCACTAATAAAATTTCTAGTAGGACTCTTCCTTTTCTCTGGTATTTGGCTTGCATATGTGGTGCTTGCGACGCTTATTTAACAAGACATCTACTTAGGGGGTGTTTGGGAAATCCAAAACCATGGTTTCAAAAGCACTTTTCCGCAAAACGAGATAATCTCCTCTACATATTTACTTCGTAATCCGTAAAAACACTTCTGAAACCATGGTTTGGTTCCTATCCAAACACCCCCTTAACCTTGCATGGCGAATGCGTCATGACTGTCCAAAGGCTTCTTAAAAATTAGGTTTTAGTCACCTTTTTGTTGTTTTGATTGAGTCGTGATGACCTCTGAAATCCTAGGCTGATCATGAGTAACTTCAGCTTTATTTTCCGAGATTCTGCGAGGATTTGTACTGGAGAAATTTTCTGTCAGCTTACCGGGTTTGGGTGTTACTTAAAAGATTTTTTGCAGGTTGCTCAGTTATTTGTTATAAAGCATCAGTTTCCATTTTTTATGCAACTGTGGAAAATTGTGGAAACTGGGATGGCTTAATGAAACCAAAGAGCACCTCACTCGCTGGGAGATCGCGATTTCTTGTGAGAAAAATAGGTGTAGGCGTCGAAACTGGTTTTAGCGGCATGCCTTGTCCATTTTTGGAATGGAAAGAGCCCCAGCCATATCGTTGCCCGTTGGAAACACATTTTAATTGAAATAAAACAAACGGATGTACACGAAAATGTTAACGACAGAATCAAGTTTAGAACCTTCATCGCAGCATGACAAGGGGCATTACTACGGGGCAACTGCTTTTATGGACGATGAACTCGTTCTGTTTGGATGATTAAGGAAACCATATGAATACAAATGATTATTTAAAGTTTCGGCCTTTTGGGCCTGGCCCATTGGGTTGCTACGATGATGATAGGCCTTGGCAAAATTATTTGATTTCTTTGTAGTGTTCTTTGTTTAACGATATTTTCCCTGTTCATCTAAAATATACATATGTATGTGCTGAGGCCTTGGGAAGATTATCCGATTGCTTTGTAATGTTCTTTGTTTTGTCTGTATCTTTGTTTAACGATATTTTCCTTGTTCATCCAAAATATAAATATGTATCTGCCGATTGACCTAAACGGACCAACACGTCAACCTTAACTGTCACAATCTCTCAGTCCTTCAAAAGATTTAAAAAATAATAATAATCAACTCTATATAATAAAAAATTAAACACAAGCATTTCTAGTTCGACCTCTTAATCACATGCCACGCAATTCTTTATCCTCTTTTTTTTTTTTTTTTTTGCGCCTTTTAGAAGGATTCACCCGTGTAGGTGCCTATTTTTGAAATAAACAAGTTAAATGATGATTTAAATCACTTTTCTGGAGTAATAAATCTATATGAAATTTTTTACAATTTAGTAAATAAAAAATTCATGCATTGAGTCTCTGTAACTCAAATTGGAGAGCCATACATAATACAGTCAACATGTCTATTTAAGAAATAGATCATGACAAGAAAATGAAGAAATATCCATAATTTTTGTTTTTTTTTCCCGAAAGAATTCTGTGATTGGCTGGCCGGCAGACTTGGCTATTTTTTTGGACAACTTCATGGGCCTAAATCTGTTTCCTTGATGCTGCCGTATGTTGGGTGTATAAGTGGCAATGGGTCCAATCCAAGTGGGAAATTGTCCTGACACCATAATTAGCGTATCCCTTGCTCAGTTTCTGCACTAAGGCAGAGTTTTTCCCATTTCACTGTTGAGCTCTGCGTGTTGCGTGTTGGATATTTCACACCTAACATTAAAATTCAAGTCTTCACACTCTGATGCATAAGCAAAGTCTAATACTAAGTATACTTTGGTAGCAAGCTTCTGGCAATAGTTTCTGATGAGAATGTACAGGATTCCATGTAATAATAATTGTCGTTAATGGTGTCTTTTTGGAAGAGTCTGACGACTGAATCGAGTTCTGCTTTACTATTGTTGGTGGATTGGTGCCCTCCTTGACTGGGTTTTCGGATAAGACACTGCCGTAAGGGTCCCCGTGTTGTCGATGGGTTTTGTCTTATAATTCGTCTCTCTCTTCTTTATCGATCGTCAACCATTTGGTTTGATCAAACGTTGCCATTAGCAAGTGGGAGAGACACCTAATTCACGTTCTCCACTCCCCTCCAATAATACGACGAAGAACCGTCACATCATGGTACCCTCAAAAAGTACTGTTTGCCGTTGAATTAACTATTTCCTTCCATGATGCTGTTAGGGCTGTTCACGGGACGGGACAGGACCGGGACGGACCCGTCCCGGTCCCGTCCCGATGAATAGTACCGGGACAAGAAATTTGTCCTCCGTCCCGTCCCGTCCCGATATTGTCCCGGTCCCGACCGGGACGGGACGGGACCGGGACGTCCCGGTACCATTTTTTTTTTTGGAAAAACGCTGTGGGCTTCTGAGAAATATTGTGGGCCTTTTAAAAAAATGCTGTTGGCCTTCTAAAAATGCGGTGGGCCTCTTAAAAATGCTGTGGGCCTTTTATTAGGAGGTTTTAAATGATCTGGGCCTTCAATAGGAGATATATTTTTCATATATAAACAATTTTACAATCTAAATAATAACATACAGCTTTATATCTTTTTTTTTTCACCAGCAAATCAACCGATCCCTATTCCCTTCCCTGTCATCATCTTCAAGGTGCTGGTCATTGGTCAAAACAGAACCAACTAACAAGTAACAAGCCAAAAAATAACAAATAAAACCAAATCCATTGACTAGAAAATGGTTTCAAACCGTAAAGAAACATTACAGACAGTCCAAATGTCTAATGAGGCAATAAGTCCAATAGTCCATCACCAAATGACAACACTACATCATCAAAAACACATCCAGAAAATAAGCCAGAAAATAACAGAACCAAAACCATCCAGGCTCCAGCAGCACACAATCCATCATTTGGTTGTTCCTCTTCATGTAACAAATTTGAGGCAGCTGATTCTTCTACAAATGAAGACAGAGAAAAGAAAAATTGTTAATATGAAGTTGATAAATCAGATAGAAAAGGAATTTTAAAACTGTCCGTAACATATAACATGTGTGTGCGTGTGTAGAGAGAGATGAAATGTTGATCATCATTAATTCATTATCGTCTTATAATATTCACACTTGCTGAGCCACAAAGCACACAAAGCACACAAAGCACACAGAAGCATATGAATCAAGCATGAAGGTAACGAGTATGTTGTTCTAATACAGCCAGAACAGTTCATTAATATAGCATATTCTGATGATGCATGCTTTGAAACTCTCTCTCTCTCTATACGAAGTTACTTCGTGACATCCAAGAAAGGTGCTTGCGGTTTGAATGCAAAATATCCAATGAAAGCATAAACAAAAATAAGGAAAATGACTCCCAAGAGATTAAAGGGAAGGAGGGCCACATATTGCTCCATCAGAGTCAGAGCTACAGTGGAAGGCAATTTTGAATATAACTGGTTCTATTAATTATCAATAAGTTCAACCAATGAAGTTGCACTAAAAATCAGCACACATACATAGTTCTTAATTCTCATAATACATTAACGAATGAAACATAAATACCATTCAATATAAATATATGATATAAAATCAATAAAAAGATTTGCTAAGAATAAATTACTCAAATCTGATATTTAGTTTTTCCCAAACAAATAGGACATAGTAGCTCGGAAGTCTTGAATAGAGTAAGCTCAATTTTAATGTAGATAAAAATAGACAAGTGATTAAAATTAAAGAAATAAATGATAGATAAAAATACCCCCTCAATTATTCAGAGATCTCCCAATTTGGGGTTGGTTTGAGAATAATATTAAATCACGTCAATCTAACTCATCCTACTATTAATATATTTTATCAAGATGATGTTGTAAATATTATGTATGCTGCCGCCAACAGATGAGTTCAACAAATACATGAAATTCATGCCACGGTAACCTTTTTTTCTACAATATAATTGTCACAGAGCCAATTGTTGCGGCCTTTGATATAATTGTCACAGAGCCAAATGCCAATAGTCAAAGGGCGTAATCATATTAATATTAATACACGGAAATACTAATAATCAAACTAAATCTATTACCAAAATGAGAGAATTATATCAAATGTTAAAAAAATTTTGGCTGCAATCAAACACTACTAAAAGATAGATATTACCTTGTGCTGCAATCTCAGTTTCATTGAAGTCATCAATGTCTATTAATATTACTACTTCACAGACCATCAACCGAATGATACATACAAATTATTAAACAATTCAACAACCAGAAAAATTCACAGAACCAGCGAATGAAGCAAATTAAATCGGTGGGTTTTA